TGGGCTTTTGGGTGCAGGGGCAGGGTTCAGCACGCTGCACAGAGAAGCCAGAAGTGCAGAAGCATCTACACTCAACAAAGCAGAGAAGAATCCTTTGAAGATGTCATTCTGTCACTCAAACTCCACCCCCACAGAACCCTATGGTCCTCTGACAGTCCTTAGGGGTCAGCTTCCTGGTGCCCCTTAGGCCTCCCGCCTTCTCTCTCCCTACCTCCTACCACCCCAGCCTCTCTGGTTCCTCACTATTTATGAATCCACCAGGCATGCCACCCTTCTGGAATGTTCTTTCCTTCTTGTCTACGTATGGCTCATTCCCTCATCATCTCTATGTCTTTGTTCAAACACAGCTATCCTATCCTGCTACTCGGTTCCTTTATTCTGACCTGTTCATCCCCATATCACTGTGAGGCCATATCACATATAACACATTATGTATTCTCACACACATCATGTTATCCATGGGCTCATAACAGAAGGACGATTTCACAAAGGCAGAATCTTGTTTTGCTTTCTTGCCCAAGAACTGACTTCATTCCCCTGCCTACAATGGTGTCTAACATGTATCTGACGCTTGAGAAATATTTGCCAGCTGGTCTAGCCCACGACAACAGAGCCCTATCATCAGACACAGAACACACAGACTTGGTCCCGCTCAAGGACTTGGGACTGCTGAGGCATTAACACTCTTCTGGTCTGACTGGAGCCAACATCAGTCCTTCTGACCCCGGAAATTCTAAGGGTCTGCTAGTCCCATGAATGTTAACTCAATTTAGGGCATTAAAATAATCTGTGGATTTAACTTGCTTGAAATAACATAGGCAATATTAAGAAGCCCATGTCATACCCCAAAGCTCCAGTGTTTGGTCACTTGTACTTCCCAAAGCTTACAGATGTTCTCAGCTGCCCATCTTTTTCCTTCTGCAAAGGGGGAGCTGGCCTACTTAGGAGCTCCCCATAGGGTTTCCAACCAGGTTCCTAGAGGGCAGCTACAATCCCCATAGCTGTAGATGACTGTTCTGGAACCCTCTGGACCTGAAGAGTGAGAGAAGCGTACGCGTCAGCAGCCACCACAAGACAACACAGACGACATGCCATGCACACGCAACAGATGCCCATGGGGACAGCCATGAGATGCGTGGGGTGGGGCGGAGCTAGGAGTCCTCTGTGGCATGCACTCGTGAACTCTGACAGCTCTGTCCACTTGGCCAGGTGGAGACGGTGGAGAACAGGAAGTACAAGCGAATGAGTCGTCAGGATGAGGTCAGAGGCAGAGAGAGAGGAGACAGGACATGATCAGTAGATGAGCCCCATGCCTGCTGGGGCCACACAGCATGTTTCAGGAGACACAGGACATGAGAGAGAGAATGGGGGAGGTTTGGCATGCACAGGCCCCACCTGACAGAAGGAGGCCCTGTGTCCAGCCTGGTCTAGAACTCACCTGCCCCTGGCTACTCCCTGCTTCCTGGTGGCACCCCAAGCCGTGACTCAGGTGCCCTTGGATCCGATATGTGCATGACTAGGGACAGTCTTTAAAACTACCGGCTTGGGGAGCACTGCTGTCACCCCATAGCTGTCCATAGGGAGGTATGGGACATCAGAAGAAGACACATCTCATAGCTGACAAGATTTTCAAAGTTAGTAAGCAGCTTGGAATCTAACCCAACTTCTGTGGATGAGGAGATGTCTCCTCCACGCGAGAGCCAGCAGACAGGAAGGATCTAACGTGCAGGCTTCTGGGCCCCCACACTGGACTGAGGAGAAAGTGGGGCCCTGCTCATGCCCACTGGCCAGAGAGAGGGTGGACAAAGAGAAAGGTCTTGGGACCTCCAGGCTCTGCTCCTTCACGGAAGTGCCTGCTTGGCAAAGGTCAGGGCCTCCTGGACTCCATCTCCTTGAGATGGGCCACACTGGGGCTCCCTGCCATGCTGAACCACACTGAAGAGTGCAGGGGACAGGTGAGATGAGGAAAAGGGGAGAGAGTGTGACTGGGCTCAAGGAGAAGACACCCTTAGTCCCGAGGGTTCACGGTGGGATTCCAAACAGCATCAACCGATCCCCGTTAGGCCCTGGGCCAGAGCCTCCCTGCGCCTTGCTTCCTAACCACTGAAAATTCAGGGACCCAGGACATAGGTCCTCTTGTGCCTTGTGAAACAGAAAGCTTGGAGATTCTAGGGCAAGGACCTAGGCAACTTCTTTCCAGACTCAAATCCTTTCCTGCCATGCCAGGCCCTTCTGGGACCTTCGTTCTGGGGCTGGTGGTGAGGACCTGGGAACTACTCCCCATGTGGGCACAGAGGCAGACAGCCCTGGAGGAGGATGCCCACCTGCAGAGGTGGGTGCCACCTGTCTCTCTCACTTGCCTCTACTCTCCCTGGTAAGAGGAGCTCATCGCTGACAACCCTCCCATCCACAGGAGGGAGAGATGGTTTAGGGGAAATGAAGTGTCTTGGAAAGGGGCCTAGGAGGCAGGGCCCCAGCTCGGCCTGGTCTCACAGGAGACTCACCATTCATCTGGGAGGGTGATAATGAATAGTCCCGGTCCCCGTGCCGCCGGTCTGGTTTGAGGTTGCGGCTCTGCCTGCCGGAGCCCTCCAGCATGTTAACGATCTCGCTTCTATCGATGTTCCGCAGGGCTGTGTACAGATTCTCCACTGTTGGCAGAGAAGAGAGGAGGCGGCTTAAGGGCCAAGCTCACATGGTTCTAGAGCAACGGGAATGCCATGCAGATCTAACGGCCATGGGGCAGGAGGAAGTCTGGGGAAGAGAAATAGTTCCCCTTTTTGGCTAACATCTTTTTATACAAAAGGTCTACAGAAAACTCAGAGTGGCAGTTGTGGTTTGGCTTTTTTGTTTTGTTTTGTTTCTTTCAATGCTGGGGATGGAGCCCATGGCCTTGTGCATGCTTGGCAAGTGTTCTGGTTCTGTTGAGCACAAACCAGAAACATCTAAAGGTAGGTGTGTGTGTGTGTGTGTGTGTGTGTGTGTGTGTGTGTGTGTGAGATAGAGAGAGAGAGAGCTATAGAGATGTGTGTGTGTGTGTGTGTGAGAGAGAGAGAGAGAGAGAGAGAGAGAGAGAGAGAGAGAGAGAAACCAAGACCAAAGACTGTTCTTTTGAAGTCCTGGTCTACATCAGTGGATGTAAGAAGTGGATAGAAGCATCCAGCTCCCGCACAGGGCAGGATTTGGAGGAGTTGCTGAGAAAGAGTGAGACACGTCTTTCTCCAGGCAGGAGGAGGGTGTTCCTAAGAACGAGAGCTGAAGTCGACCAGGGCAGGCCCGCCTGACTCTGCTCTGAGATCACAGCCCTCACCTGGTTGAGAAACTCAATGGGAATACTTTGAAAACAGGAGTCTTACATCTTATACCATACTATTCTGCAGGGTCCAGGGCAAGTGTTACCTCTGAGAATGGGAAAGATGGAGGGCAAGAGCCAGTGGTAATGTGATCTGGTTACCTAGGAGACCTCAAGACTATGAGAAGTGAGAGAAGGGATGGAGAGGGGAAACCGCAGGTCAGCAGCAGGACTGGAATCGGAAAAGACTCCGGTGAGGAGCGGATCTCTCTAGCCCGACAGACAGGCGACTGAATGGTACTGACACTTTGCATTTTCGCCTTCACGGGCCACCCAGAGGGTCAGCAAGGCCGCACTCTGCTCCAACAAGGAGTTGGGGTTTTCTACACGGATCCGGTTGATGTCTTCCACAGTGAACTGCAGCTCCCGGGCCAGCTCTGTAGGCAAAGAACCAAGAGCCAATATGAGTGCTGAGCTTGTCACAGTCCCCATTAAATCTGGGGTTCCTCCTCACCAGGAAAGACGGGGCAGAACAAGTGCCTGCCTCCTTGTGTTCCTAGTGGATGGGGTGGGAAAGAGGCAGTGAATGAGAAAATGAAGACTTTTCCTTTCTTCTCGCATGACTTCACTGAGGAAGTGTTGAGAATGAGCTTCCTCAGGGAACAGGACCAGCTAGTCCTCAGACTTCGAAGGCACTACAGCACAGGCCACCTGCAGCCTTGCACAGGTGGCCACTGGCAGTCCTCCAAGAACTGGAGGATAGAAAGGCAGCCCTGTGGTTACTATGGCACCTCCCTCTGTTACTTTTATTGTGACTGCTTCCAGAGGTTTAGAAGGGGAATACTTCAGGGTACTTAAGTATGAGGAAGACTGGAGAGAAGGTGAGCACAAGAACATGCCTATACAACACCCACACACAAGCACACGCACACATACACCACACATAAGAGCACAGACCATATACTTGCCTGCAGTTGTGCACAGGTGCAGTGCACATACTCATGTGTATATATTCATGGGCATGTATAGACACAGTGCGTCCTTGACACACATACACACATGCACACCCCAAGCAGGAATAGAAATAGCATGAAGAACAGATAGTTCTCGAATTTTGAACTCCTGTCACACGCCTTTTCAGCGAGTTCCCACTGTGGTATCTGAGTCTAGAGCACTGTGGTGAGCGCACACAGGATGGCCACAACAAAGAGTGAGAAGAGACAGCAAGTCCGTTTACAGAGCCCGAGGCCGCATCAACGTGTGGGGCATTGTCGTCTGCCTACCTGCTTCCCTTCCAATACTGTCTGCCCTGTGGTAGCCAGGGAGTACCACAGGCTCAGCTAAAGCCAGAGGTGAAAAGGAACATCTGGAGACCTTGCCTTTCCCCCCTTTCCCACAGTAAGCTGCCTCTGAGAAGGAAATGAGTAGCACTGAGAAGGCAGTGGACACAGACACAAGATACATACATACATACATACACACATACATACACACACATAAACATATACACACATATGTATATGTAACACATACATAAATACACACATAAACATACACACATATGTATATGTAACACATACATACACACATATACATATGCACATATATAAATATACATACGTACGTATGTACACACACACACACACATATATATAATTTGTCTGTGCACTAACGTTTATTTGTTTGATTTTCTGTGTTCTGTCACTAGCTACCAACTTGCTTTATGAAGGTGGACCTGCACATTCCCGGCAATAAAGCCAGGTGAACCAATACATCCAGCTTACACCATCAAGAGCTGGTATGGATAATATAAAATTTGATGTTTATTTTCAAAGGTGTCTCAAGCCAGCTTAGGTCCAGCTCATCCACAAAGGCCCAGGAAACGCTGGAGCTAATGCCCGCTGGCCTAGTTATTCCCCACCACTCAAACCAGCAGCTGAGAGTAGAAACTTAGTAACCGCCAAGTCTGCCTGCGAGACTGTGCACCTATTAAGCTTTGAAATAAACAGAATTTAAATGTAGAGATGAACTCAGACAACAGTTTTTGTTGAGAAAAATTAAAATAAATAACAGTAGTGATGGAGGAAGGTCATTGGCTAATAAAGGAACTGCCTTGGCCCATTTTATTGGTTAGAGGATAGGTGGGAGGAGTAAATAGAACAGAACGCTGGGAGGAAGAGGAAGTGAGGTCAGACTCCACAGCTCTGCTCTCCGGAGCAGACGCCTCAACAGAGACGCCATGCCCCGCTCCCGGGATGAAGCTCCAACCCAGGATGGACTAGGCTAGAATCTCCCCGGTAAGCGCACCTTGGGGTGCTACACACAGATGATTAGAAATGGGCTAAATTAATATGTGAGAATTAGCCTAGAAGAGATTGGGCCAAGCAGTGTTTAAAAGAATACAGTGTCTGTGTAATTATTTTGGGGCATAAGCTAGCCGAGCAGGTGGCCGGGGTGCTGGGAATGCAGCCCCGCCGCCCTAATTACTACACAGTAGGAAACATCAAACCCAGGTGGCATGTAAGATTATTCCCGCCTGATTATTACATAAGGCTCACGACTTAGGATTTCTCAACTCTTGTCTGTGCTCAGCTGGTGCTCCTGATGGCTTAGGCTGATACTCAATTTGGCAAGGTCGTAAAATAAATGGCGGTTTCCCCTGAGTCTCAGTACTCTTGCTATAAAGTAAGGACAGTGGTTTTTCTCAATGCTTAGAGGGGAAGCAGACAAATGGGGAGGGGGCAGGCAGCTCACTGCCCTGCACTGGTACCCAAGGCTGTTGCTTATAAAATGGGCCACCACGAACTCATGCACAATGGGTGATGAGGTGAAGGCTGGACACCCTTCACCCTGGCTCACCCAGGAGGAAGGGTCATGGGGTTAGGTAGATGAGGGTTTTTCTTCTTTCTGTCCACATTCCATAACTCACCCGCCCAGCTGAGGCCGAGGTGCTCCGTGATGACCGCCATCTTCATATCTGCACGGTCTGTGTCACTGGCAAAACCTGGGAAGAGTCATTGGATTGCAGTTAGCAGCCGGGGCGGGTTGCAGCATGGATGAGGTGGGCGTGCGGCCCTTACAGAAGGATGCTCAGGTTACACAGGACTTTCAGATTACACTGTCAGGTAGAGAGACCTAAGGGGAGGGCTTTGTCTGCTGCAGACAAAACAAGATGAATGGACGCCAGGACAGTCCTTGAACAGACTGCCTTGTTCTTGTAAGAGCAAGCATATTGGGGTGCTAGGCAAGGGGCTCCTACCAAGCCGGGACTCGCTGAGGATGCTATATCGAAGGGAAAGGGGCGTCAGGGTCCTCCTCCTGTCTTCTGCTCCACTGCCCTGCAGAAGACAAAGAAAGGGTACGATGGATTTTGGGTGTACTCCCTCTTAAAGAAGCTGATACAAGCGCTCATACTTTGGCAAAAGGGCATAGTGGTCCATGGCCTGAGAGATAAAATGCGTGGAAAGAGGTGGGAGTGAAGGGAGGCTGCGATATCTAAATACTTCATGAATAATATCCATAATGGCAGACCCAAGGAGCCATTATCATGTGAGTGGCTCTATTCCATACACACAGCTATCCGTGAAGCAGGTAGGTATAATTCTAGCTTCGATTTCATTGGTGAGGAAACCGAGGCATATAACTTGCACAAGATCCCCCATTAGAGACCGATTTTGAATTCAAACTCAGCTTTTCCTTCCGGATTCTCTTTTGCTCAGTGGCTCATTTCTGACTCACACTGGCCTAAGGTTTAATACCAGGGTCTGTTTGTAGGCACTGGCAACTCCATCTGAGAGAGAAATGGGTTCATTTCTCTCATCCCCGGAAAGAAAAGAGAAATCGAGCCACATTTTTGAAGGTGACCTTGTTTCTCTTCTAGGTGTCCACAGAAGGCCAGTGACTCATACAACAGCACAGTAGCCCTGACAGAAATAAGGAGACATCCTGAGGGTGGAGTTGCTCCAAAGGTCTGATCTGCGCCATGATGCTCTTTTAGGGACCAGAAAGAGTCCATTGGTCCAGACTCCTTGACTGAGCATGGAAACGTGGGTTTTGACAGTGGCTGGGGACACCAGGGTCCCCTTGTTTGAGGGGAAAGATGGGCAAATAAATGGAAAAGAGACTTAACAACTTCTGTCTATGAGTAACTGATCTTGGACAAGTCCCCATTCAGCTGTAAGTATCAGAGGCCTCAAGAACAGCAGGGGGCTCTGTCTTCCCCGTTCTAGGGAGGCTGGATGTCAACATGAACAGCTCTGTCAGTGCCTGGCCCTGACATCTGCTCCTCACATCACATGACTAGGCTTTCTAGACTTTCCAGGGCAAGATTTCTCTCCCTAGTCACAAAACATATGTCCATAGCAGCGCAAGAACCCTAGGGAGCCTGGGGATTAAAGTTAGCGATTCAGAACAAAGAAAAGAAGCCTTTGGATGTATGCGTGTTCTGGGGGCTTTGAAGGGACATTGGTGGGTGGCAGCTCACCTTGGTACAGGGCGGCATGGTGATATTCAGGTGGCAGAGGATGTGCTGTGTGTCCTCGTACTTCATCGCCTTTCGCAGGAACGACAAGAACCCTCCCGGTTCACGACTGCTGTCCCTCACCTAGATTCAATTACACACAGGGAGCTTTAGCAGGACCCTTTATGCCTCCTACACTGGTGTTCTCAGGGCTTCCTGCCACCCAAACTCCTAGACTAAGGAAAGAGGGTGGCCATAGGAGGCCAGCACCTTCACAGGGATGGCCAAACGGTTCTCTCGAAATGACTGGAAGTGGAAACTTCGTTGTTGGGTTGTTTTCTTGACAGGCACCAAGTTCCCAGAGAGTTCTGCAAATAGAGGCATTCCTTCCAGAACCTGCAGGAAAAGAAGAGCATGCTGAGCTCCTATGGACAAGTCTGTAATTCTGTGTTTTCCTCCCCCAGACTGTCCCTCACAGAGGCTGGGGATGGGTTATGATAAGCCTCGCCGCTCTTTTAGGGAAAATGTCACAAGTGAGTTGTGCTCTCTTGATGCAGACTTGAGATGAAGATGTTTCTAAGAACTTAGTGGCCTGCCAGGACAGCAGATCATGCCATCTGGAAAGGTCCTGGTCTGTTCTTAGGTCTATCTGAAGATATTTTGTTTGTGAGAGGTGCCCAAAAGGCTACAAATGTGTCTCACACGTAAGGACTCCTCTGTGTGCATAACAACTTCAGCTGAGACGTTCTCGTGTGACTATATCTGACAGCCGAGGAAGCTGAATGAGTACTTTGACCAGTGAGTGCCAGGGCTGCATCAGAACCAGGCACACCTGTGTCTCGGCCCTGAACTTCTGATTCCAAGCCAGCTCTCGGAGTTGACTCTTTTGTCAACTAGAGACAAGTTGACATGTGAGAAGAGGAAACCCCAATTAGGAAAAGTCTTGGGGAAAAAAAGGGAAAAATAAAGGTCCCCCCCACCAGACTAGCCTGTGGGTAAACCTGCAGCACATTTTCTTGATTGATGATTGACGTGAGATGGTCCAGCTCACCATGGGCAGTGCCACTCATGGGCAAGGTGGCCCTAGGTTGTATATAAAAGCAGGCTGAGCAAGCCATGAGGGGCAAGTCAGTAAGCAATGTTCCTCCATGGCTTCTGCTTCAGTTCCTGCCTCTAAGTTCCTGACCTGAGTTCTTGCCCTGACTTTGTCCCACAATAGGCTGTGATATAGTGATGAACTATAAACTGAAATAAACCCCTTCCCCACCACGTTGCCTTTGGTCATGGTGTTTCATCACAGCAATAGAAATCCTAAATAAAAGACATCAGCTTTCCCAGGTAAGTCCAGCTAAGATTCAGAGGCCGGACCCTCAGATGGTCCCTAGCTTATTATATATAAACATGAAAGAGATTCTTGGGATTGATAATAATTTATAATTGATAACAATATATAATTAATATAATAAAATTATTGGTAATAATTTACCAATTAATAATTGGTAAAAACTCAGTTTCTATCCTCTCATCTTTTAACCACATAGTCTCTGCTTTCCTAGATGCTACCACGTACCAGGGCTGCTGGTAGAAACAGGGAGTTTGGGTCAAATCCTACAGCTACTCTCTCTGCAACTTGAGTGTGACTTTAACCCTCTCTCCCAATCTTGGCTTCCCACTGGGTACACTGGGGTAATGAAGTTGCCTACAGTTAAGAGAACCAAATCTTATCTTATAAGCTAGGTACTTTAAGAAAAAAAGGATTTCAAAAAATGGTGTGTGTGTGTGTGTGTGTGTGAGAGAGAGAGAGAGAGAGAGAGAGAGAGAGAGAGAGAGACGAGGGGAGAGTGTGTGTGTGTGTATGAGAGAAAGACGAGGGGAGAGAGTGTGTATGTGTATGTATGAGACAGGGAAAGAGGGGGAGGGGGAGAGAGAGAGCAAGCAAGCGAGCACCACATGCATGCGGGTGCCCATAGAGGCCAGAAGAGGGCACTGGATCCCCTGGAACTAGAGTTACAGGTGGTTGTGAGCTATCTGACATGGGTGCTGGGAACTGAACCCAGGTCCTCTGCAAGAGCAGTAAGTGCTCCTAATTGCTGATCCAGCTCTCCAGTCTTACAAGTTACAAATGTGACAGATTCATATGAACTCCAGCAAATACCAATTCTTACTAGAGAAGCCCCTGAGATGCCTGTGGTGGTGGCCCTCATGTTTGTCATGACTTATCTAAGATGATTCTTGGGGAGCTGAAGCAGTACATCCTAATGGTCCCTACAACTTTGGAGGGAAGGCATCGTGATCCAGGAGCAGCCACCAGAGCCACCTTAACCCAGAGCTTCATTTTCTTCCAGGGCTGCTGTGAGGACAGCCGGGAACCATACCTCTATGTCCCTGCTCCGTGCCACCTCCACAAAGTTTTCATGCTGTTCCAGGGTCTTGTCCACTTTGTCGTCTGTCATGCAGTAGCAGCGTAGCCGTCCTTCCCGCGGGTCATTCATCTTGGCAAAAATGACGAACTTGGCCATGTAGGGGACTGCCGTGAGCTCTTTGTACAACAGAGTGGCAAAGTGCACGGCCTCTGCGGTTCGAGGACAGTCCGACAGCCAAAACCTAAAAGGAGACGGCAAGCAGTGAGTATGGCCGTGCCACAGCAATGGAGCCCTGCCTGGTGGGGGAAGTGGCGGAGGACTCCCAAGCTCAGCCTGGGAGAGCGGGCCAGGCCACGAGGGTGGCTCCCTGCAGCCACCATGCCGGGCTAGGAAGGGCCGAGTCGTACCTGGCTGACACATTGGTGGTGAAGTTGGCACACTCGTTGGCGTACACAAGCTTGGTTGTTCCAGTTATATCTTCCCACTGGGCTTGGTCAGTTCCACCTACAACAGCATCAATAGCAGGGCTGGGGCGATGCTTTCCATTCATAAGCAGAGAGCTTACGTGTGTGTGTGTGTGTGTGTGTGCGCAAAGCCAGAAATGGAACATCAGGGGGATCCTTGGTCTACAACTTTATTTCCCCACGCTGTGCTGACGACTTACACACAGGTCATTTTTCTCTCATCCCCAGGGAAGTCATAAGAGCCCAATGTAGTTGCTGGCTTTATCTTTGCACCACCCAGTGTGTGCCCTAAACCAGTTGCTGCCAAGGAAACGGGCACCACAAGCGCCACTTACCAATGACGCTGCACAGGAGGCGTAGGCTGGTGGTATCTCCCTCCCCGCTGTCTCTTGGGTTGTCAGTCCAGGAGGGAGGGAGTGGGATCCGAAGCCCAATGGGGCGGTGGAACTTCCGGCGCCTTGGCTCAACAGTGACAATGGGGCTGAAGGTGGCCTGGTTGCCGAGGAGCTTGGTCACCAGCTCATCTGGGACAGGCTGGGCCTGTGAAGTGCCAAAGACAGAGGGCTCAGCCCCAGGCAGTCAGATAGGGTCAGCTGGGTACCCTCAAAGTTCAGGTTAGAAGGTGACTACCCCCCCCCGGGACTCCCCCATATACTTTGACCGGAGGGTGTCCCCCTAGGCCTGACCCCATGACTGAGTGTCTTCCTGACTTTCTATCTCCAACTCCATGTTTTTCCTCAGCGCTTTGGCCCACTTTGGGCCTTCTGGAGGACACAGCTGACCACACTCAGTAGCCATGCTGGGCTGTCTACAACTCTTTAAGAAACACGTGGTCACCGCGCCCTCCCAGAGTTCCTTAAGCATCTTCTCCAGGGTCTGACCTCCACGTAATCTTAGGAACTGACAGAAAGGGGCCACGTCACCTGTAGAGCCAGCTTCACTTTCTTGGTGACAGCATTTTCAGGGAATGTTGCCTGTACCATGGGCACCAGCTTGCTTCTTAGGGAGCCCCCTTCAGGACCGATGGTGTCATAGTCCTGGCAGAGCCGGGACATGATCACAAAATACAGGGGGAAGTCGGTGGTGATGATGCGGCAAACTCGCTTCTTTTCCAGCTCCTCCAAGCTCCCCAGCTCTGGAAACACAAGTTGCCTCAGGATGAGCCTTGACTGAGGTGCCAGAGTCTCCACATCCTGGACACATACCCTCCCTAGGGGCTTGGCAGGGAGGTGGCCTAGAAGACTCTGGCTGAGCCCTGACTGTGGCCGCAGGGTTTCCCTAGTGGCTTGGCAGGAAGGTGGCCTGGAAGGAGAAGCATCTGAACCCAGAGGCCCAGTAGAAGAGGCACTGCGCACAGTGGTGGGGGGCGCGCTTTACCCTCTCACATATCCTGGGGATCTAGCACTTAGTAAGAAGGACCATTCCCTGTCTCTCTTAGCCTCACACTCCAGGCAGTGCTGACAGACCAACTGGGGTGTGCAGCCCCAGATCCCATGTTCCTAAAGCAGGAAACCCGCCTGGAACTCTAGGGCCCCTTTACCTTCGTCCATGCCATTAAGGATCTGGTCCAGGTAGCTTTCTCCATAGCGGCTCTTATGTTCCTTCCACACAGAGCCATTCTCACTCCTCAGAACCACCAGTTCACGGTCCCCACGGCCATGCGAGGCGAAATGGGGGATCTCCACAATCACGGGGCTAAGGTAGAACATAGCAAATGGTGGGAGGATGATTAGAGGAGGCCGGATGCCTGGACACAGGGGATGGCAGTGGGCCCTGCTCACAGCCTGCAGTGAGAAGGACCTACTGACCAGGGCTGGGGAGGAACGGAGC